GGGGGATTAGGAGTGAGGGATTTATGGAAATTCAACTTGGCATTGATGGGAAAATGGTGGGGAAGACTGGCTGAAAATGGGGAGGGCTTATGGAAGAGAATAATTGTAGAGAAGTATGGCATGGGAGGGGGACATTGGCAAGATTGGATCGCTGATAATAGTGCAGTAGGATCAACATGGTGGAGGGATGTGAGAGTTATCAACACAATGGATGGGGAGAATATTGGCTGGTTGAAAGAGGGTTTCAAGATTAATATTGGGGAGGGGAAGAGTGTGAGTTTTTGGTGGGATAATTGGAGGGGGGAGGGTTGCCTTGCTAACAAATTTCCTAGATTATATTTATTATCAACAGGAAAAAATAATACATGTAGCGAAATGAGAAGCAGAAACAATGGAGCATGGGAATGGAATCTGCAGTGGATGAGAAGTTTGTTTGAGTGGGAAGCGAAAGAGGCCATGGAACTTCAGAGCTTGATAAGAGACGTGAAGACCTCACAAGGAATCCCGAATAGTTGGGAATGGATTCATGACAAAGATGGCCAGTACACATCAAAGTCAGCATATACACTTCTAACAAAAGAAGAAAGTGGAGTAAATGAAAGCACCACATTCACAAGAGTCTGGAATTCCACCCTACCAAGCAAAGTTTCAGCTTTCAACTGGCAATTACTTCAAGATAGAATTCCAACAAAAAAGAACCTGCTGAGAAGAGGGATCATTAAAGACACAGGAGAAAGTAAATGCGGAATATGCAATGAAGAAGAGGAAGACACAACGCACATGTTTTTAAAATGCAAGATGGCTCGATGGTTATGGAAGGCTTGCGCAAAGTGGTGGGGGATAAAAGTCACATTACAAGAGGATTTCCGGAACACCTTCCAGAATTTTCAAAGAGATCTGAAAGAGACAAGTTTAAGAGACGGATGGGATTGCCTTTGGAACTCCTTTGGTGTGGACGGTGTGGCTGGCCAGAAATCAAATGCTATTTCAAGGCAAAAAGATTGATGCGGGAAAGTTATTTGAGCTGATCCAGTTGAGATCCTTCTTTTGGGTTAAAGCAAAAAATGACAGGTATGCTTTTACCCTCTCAGATTGGCTAATTAACCCAGTAGAATGTCTTAAAGGTCACCATGCTGGACGGAAAAAGAGGGACTGATGAGGAGACATCGGGCTGTACAAGTTTTGCTTAGAATAGAAATTTAGTTGGGTCATGATGGCTGCATTGAGCAGTTCCTTGACTATAGTCTACTCCTTAATGGATTGAGTGGGTTAAGTAGATGTAGTCAATGCATGCTCAATGATGTGATTTCCAGTGGACTTCAATATTGGGAAGCTTTTTGATGATCTGAACAGGGAGCCATGAAGATTATGCAACGGGGGATTGAATTTCGTCACGAGTATAGTGTCGACACTTAAAGTGGGTGTCGACACCTTGCTATTTCACTCATGGAAATGTAAGCTTCACAAACAGTATTGTTATGGGTTTGGGATACCCCTTGTACTCCACTTATTAATAAATATATCTATTGCCGTTCAAAAAAAAAAATAAAATGAGATAATCACTAAATTACTTAAGTCATTGACAATCATAATATGATATTAAATAAATATAATGAAATATTAAGTGAATAAATATATATAATCACTAAAGAAAAAGAACCAATTATATAATAACATATCATATTATAAATTTATAATATCAAATGAGATTATCACCATAGTATTTTCACTAACAAAATTCCTCATATAACCGATTATATATACTATAACTTTGGGTTTGTGCTAGAAAAGTTAAAACCCTTATTGAAGCCTATTAATTTCAAAATATGTTGATTATAACAGAAATGTATTTGATTATATTGAAGATAAAATTAATTACAAATGAAAAATAAGTGATCATAAATGATATAATTGCTTATTTTCCATTCATAATTAATTATCTTATTTTCCAAACAAAATATCTCAAAACCTAACAAAGTTGACATATAATTGATTATATTATTATTTCTATTATAATCAATTATATTATACCTCAATTTTTCTGTTAAGAAATTAAGTTTTTTAAGCCAAATCAAGTTAATTTTTGGTAGACTTCTTTGAATTCTTTTTTCGAGAAAAACTTGAACCAAACAGGACTTTATTAAAGTCCATTAACTTCAGATGTTGACTTCTCTACATTTTTTTTTTATTTGTTTTGCAACTAAACCCGCCTTAAATTGTCATATAATCAGTTAACTAGTTTTATAACTAATTATTTTCTCTTACACAGGATTTTATCTTTCATCCACTAAGTCGTCATTCTATTCGGTTAGGTGCAAGCCTCAGTTAGAATCCAACAACTATTCCATTGAAGAAATATAAGAAAAAAGGGAAATATTTTTTAAAAAATTATTTTATTTTTTTTATCTTCCTTGTATGTATAATGGATTTATATAATAAAATATGTCTAGATACAAAATCAATTAAGTTAAATTCAATAAATAATGTATTAACTATGTAACTTATATTAATTTAGTTTTGAAATAATTTTTTTAAAAAATAATCTATAAATTATCAATTTTGTATCAAAATGAGTTTATTTTACCAACACTTGTCAACATCTCCCTTAACTAGACTAACATAATTCTTTTTAGTTGTTGATATGGTGCCACCTAATCCATTAATATTAATGTTTAATAATGAAATT